TTTCATGGGGCTCAGTGCACAGCGAGGTAGCACAGGTGTTCCTGTAATTGCTGTACAATGGGAAAATTCAGTGCTCAATGGCCTTTGAATTCTCTTGTGTGGTGGTGTGTGAAGATCAGATGTTGGTATTGTCTTCCTGTCACGATGTGAAATGCAACTAAAAGTGTTGAACTTTCAGCTGCCCTAAGTCAGGTTAAGGGCACATACTGAGTTTCTTTATCATGCAGTCATAGTTTCTGTAACTCTGTGCATCTTTTCACAAATAGAGAAAAATGACTGAAGATCTCTTGTTGGCAAGAATGTACATCATAAGTAATGTTTTCTCCTGGTATGGTGCATTCGAACTCTACCACTATGCTAGCTAACCTCTACATTTATTTATGAAAAATGTGCTGAAATTAAAAAAGAAGTGATGCTATTTTTCTATTTCATTCCCTAGAAAGGCAGAAGATGAAGAGAAAGAAAAATAAGAAGAGGAGAGGAAGAAGAGAAGTGGGAGAAGAGAGATTAGATTCTGTAGCAAATTGTAAATAATGTCTTTGCAAACCACGAGTCACTTTCTGTTATGTGATTGAGCATTCTTTTTGCTCAGGAATATGGAGACAGATGGTCTAATGCTCAAGAGAGTGCTCTGGAAAGTGCTGTGGAAATAGCAGAGAGAGTGACTACTCCAGAGAGAACTCAAATGACTCCATGAAAAAACGCTGAAGTTGACAAACCTCCCATTACTGATTACATTACTACTGCATAAGAAAGTAGACATCATTTCCAGCTCACTGAGATGGTCACACACATACCCCTAGCCAGTTTTCCTTTAATTAGTCCTCCTGAGACCATATACCAGACTGGGCCCCCATAGTGCCTGCCAGAGAGTCAGCCATCCGTATGTGCCTCACAGGTAACAGACACCTGGAGGAAAAACTCCACCAGGTTGTCATGAGACTTTCACTGGCCACATGATAGCATTATTATAGAATTTACAAGTGTTAACGAGAGCATTATTTAATCCATTGGGAATCCAATGCTCAAAGATACCCAAGAGTAAAATTGTTTTTAACTTGAGAACCAAAAATACTCTGCTCCCTGATTTGAGTCCTTACAGAGTTCTAATTAGTGCCTTGTCAGGGTCATTTTCAGAAAGGCAGAAATTCCAGGGAATGATATTTCCATGATATTGGTCAAACTCTGGCTCTCAAGCACAGTAAGAAAGACTCTTCTTGACATTTGGTCAACATGACAGTCATAAATTGGAATAGAACCTGTATCTGACTCTGCATAGGACACATATGTAAAGTCGTTGCTGCTGCAAGTCAATTCATACTTCAATCAAAACCTGCAGTGGGATTACAGAGATCTCTCCATGAGCTAAGATCATGTTGCTCACAGGAAGTAGGGTTCCTCTGCCCACTTGGAATGAAACCTGAGCAGAGCAGGGAAAGTGCCCAAGCACTGCCAGGTATGGTCCAAAAACTAGCAAATGAACAAAAAACCCATAGCAGGTTTCATTTGCTTTTCATTTATGGAATCCCCATAATTCTCCTATTCAAATATTTCCCCTGGAAGGCATCATTGATACCTCTGATTTAAGAACCATATGTGACAGTCACAAAGAACTGTTCACAAATGTATCCCTTCTTGCAGAGGAAGGTTGGAAATGATTTAGTAAAAAGAGGCAATTCACCACCTTCCATCAAAAATTCAGTTGGTAATTTATTTCCTTGCCTCTGGTCACAGAATTTATGGTTCAAAGATATTGTCTTAGCATGTTATCTATAATTGTATTATTTAGCTGTCAATTTTTGTTTGTCTGATGTAGACCAATAGAAGGGGACCATAGTCAAAAACAAAAGGTGTGAAGGCAAAACCCAACCCAAGATCAATAAGAAGCCTGATTTGGGACTGTAGATCATCTCCATTGCATGGAAATCAGAAAGTTAACCAGTCAAAGGACTGTCATTAGATGTGAAAGAGACAGAAAGATTGTTATCTCTCCAGTGCACAGAAATCACCAAAGGTCCCCACAAAAGCTAATACCTCCAAAGAATGCTTTCAATGGTGCCAGTTCAGTCTTTGAGAAATACCAGCTTTATGTTTAACCTATTCACTCTTGTAGCTCATTATTCTTCAAACCATCCTGTTGATGAATATAAACTACTTCCTCCATCCCTGATTTTGTCTTCCTGATAGGAGGCACTAAGCTATTAAATTCCTAGCTGTTCCTCATCCTCTCACTCACAATTTTTCCTCCACTGAGAACTAAATTATCCATTGCTGCAATTAGGAGAAATTAGACACCTATAGAGCAGTTCCTTTCTCCTCCCTAGTGAACAAACATGCATGTTTTTCATGATCTCATGAGTTAAATTTTACAATCCTGCCCAAAGTTGGAAGAAGTAGTGGAGTGAGGCCAGGTGGATGGAAAACTTATCTTTGCTATCCAGTGCAGGAGTTTTAGTTGGAAAATTCCTTTGCCACAGAAAAAAGAATTCGTATTCTCCCTTGCCTGTCTCACTGCTATATCATATTTTTTCATTTGGTTCAGAGCATATGCAGAGAATGACTCAGAATATTTCTGAGTCACCTCAAAGACCACAGAAATCTATTTGTTCACATCATTTTCCAGGAGTTTTTGCTATCCGGAAGGCACTTTCTCATTCTTTTTACCTTTCCAATTCTATGAATCATTAAAGCTCCTTTTCAAGTCTTAACTTCACTCCACAACTTTCCACAGAGTAGCTGTGATATTTAAATAATGCAGTATGTGTGAAAGCTTTCAATGCAGTATGTGTGAAAGCTATGGGCCTGGAGCGATAGATACATACTAAGACTTTTTTCCCCTTCTTAGTCACTGTGTCTAATTTAAATTTTATCATACCCTCATGTCCTAAGTATCAAATGGTAGAATTTCTGGAAATCAGTGTGGTGACATACCCAAAGAGTCATAAAGCTAAACTTGCACTATGAACTTAAATTCTATTTCTGAATTATACTGTTTAAAGTTGGTAAACATATGTATACCAAGGCAAATGTCGTGAGATAATTACCAGGGAAATTGTGAGGTGAATTACAACACAGTTATAATTATTAAGCAACATTTATTACATAAGATTTTACATGTTAAGTTTTTAAGATGAACCAAAGTAATTTTCTATTGATGTAGGCAGGTAGACAGGGAGGGCCCCCTCCCAAGGCAATGACAAAAGCCAGCCCTGCAGAAAATAGGAAAACAGGAACTAAGGCTTGATAAGACCCTCACCTGGCTCCAGCAACTGACCCAAAGAAGCTCCTCTAGGAACAAAAGGCCAGGAAAGGAATTTCAAAGAAGACCATCACCACTCCCATCCTCCCTGGCAACCTCCTTAGCAACTGGACATTTACCTGGGAAGAAGCCCCATGTGGGGGCAGGTTGGAGGAACCCTATAAAGGCCACCTTGAACAAAGGAAGTGCGCGCATTTGCTGCCCAAGCCCATGTGCTGCTTGCGCCCACGTGGCCGAGCACATGTGGTTCCCGAGCACATGTGTCGCCCGCATCTCCCCTCTTGAGATGTGTACTTTCATGCTTTCATGTCTAACTTTACTCTCTCACTCTCTCTCCCTCCTTCCATACCTAAAACTCCTCCAAATAAAATCTATTTACTTCACTGCTTGTCTACTCCTGAAATTCCTTTCTGCGAGGCGAGACAAGAACCCAGCAACCCTGGGTCCCGGGTGGCAGAGGCGGGTAGGGAGAAAGTGACTGTCTTTCTCCTCCCCACTTCACATAAGTCACCCGTGGGGCCCACCGACATCACTATGACTTCAAAATCTGCCATGAGGGGTAGGAGCAAATGAGCATAAAATCAGAAAGCTGTTCCATGTACTATGAGCTCATAGTAGAGCTTTTGCCTAGCATGTGTGAGGTCTAAACACACCAAAACTTTTTAAATTTAATTTTAAAATAACATAAAACTGTATTGCAGCTTTGGTTTTTTTTCACTTTTTATCTTATGTCATTTCTCATGTTAAGAGAATTTTCAAAAAATATTTTAACAATTTATTTCGAATGTAGAGGCATCAAGTTGACATTTGACTCAGAATCTTTATTTCTGCATATTAACATGTTATTGTTGACATGCAGAAAGAATTAGACCTGGTTCAAAAGCATGCAGAAAAGTAGACAATAGAAGTTAAAAGAGTAGCAGTAGCAATTTATAATTAACTTCTTTTGTCTACAAATAAAAGAGTAGCAGTAGCAATTTATAGTTATTTTTATTTACTCTTTACATTATTATTACATTTTTCATCAAATGTAAGAAAGCTAACAAATAATTATTGACCACAACCAATGTAAATTTTATGCAAAAATTGGTAATTAAATGGGGCCTGAGCAATAGTACAGCAGGCAGAGCTTTTACCTTGCACGCAACCAACCTGGGTTCTAGCCCCGGCAACCCATATGGTCCTCCAAGCATCCATCAGGAATAATCCCTGAATGCAGAGCCAGGCATAACCTGTGAGCATCTCTGGATATGATCCAAAAAGCAAAAAAAAAAAAATGTAATTAGAGCCCCCAAATTTATTGGGCCTATTGCACTCTTTTAGAAAAAGAAAAAATATATATATACATATCACTCAATTCCCTCTGGAAAGTTAACTTGTTAAGGGAACAAATAGAATGCAGCCCTCAATTTCCCTGCCTGGATTATGCACAATATCTGACAACACCTGTTTTCAGACTAATCCCACCCTATGGCTCATCTTTCCTTGATATTTCCATGTTCTAAGCAGAACCACATTTATCATTTACAACCAATAACCTAACACACAGACATAGACACAGACACACACAGACACACATACACACTTTTATCAGATATTCCCTGAAACATCCAACCAATTGACTGAGCTTCTGAGTTCCATAAATTCAGGGTTTATAGAACCTTAGATAACTTTGATAAATCATGTTAAATATTTTTTGAGTAACCACAATAATTTTGAGTTTAATAAAGAGTTGTTTCCAACCTTTTCTCTGCCTTTTGACTCAAATCAAGTGCAGGCTCTTGTCTTATCAGTTCATCTGATGCATCCTATATCCAAGAACAGCGTATTAAATGTGCCTTTTGAGCATGAAGTTGCAATAAGAGCATGCCCCGTCTGTTCCATACACCAACCTGGCATTGTAGTACAACTAGAAACAGGTCCCTCTCCCCTTTTTTTGTGTTCTAAATGTAGGCTGCCAATAATGGCACTCTCTGGTCTCTTAACTTTCTTATTCTTGCTAAATCGTCAACTGTTCCCATCCCACTGGCGCTTTGCTGAATCTGTATTTCATTTGGTACCTGTCATCTTTCATTGTTCCTTAACCCACTCCCTCCTTTTAAAAAATAGATTACAATGAACAAGAAATGAGTGATGAAAGTAGGTACAGGGATATACATAATAACCTCTCAGTACCTATATTGTAAACCATAATGCCCAGAAGAAAAGAGAAAGAGAGAGAGAGAGAGAGAGAGAGAGAGAGAGAGAGAGAGAAAGAAAGAAAGAAAGAAAGAAAGAAAGAAAGAAAGAAAGAAAGAAAGAAAGAAGAAAGGTACCTGCCATAGAGGCAGGCTGGGGTGAAAGGGATGGGGGAGGTAGGGAAGGGAGTAGGAGGGAAACTGGGGATATATATGGGGGAAATGCACACTGCTGAAGGGATGGGTGTTAGAACATTGTGTGACTGAAACCCTATCATGGACAACTTTGTAACTGTGTATCTCACAGTGATTCAATTAAAAATAATAATAATAAAATAAAAATAAGCAGTAGATAAAAATTTTAAATGGATTATAAACTACAATGGGTTAATCTAGTTTAATACAAACCTTTCAGCGGGTCAGAGAGATAGTTAAGGGTTTAAGGCACTTGCTTTGACTGTGGCTGACCCCAGTTCAAACCCCACACTGCATATGGTCTCCTGAACTCTACTAGGGCATGTTGATAACAATCCTTGAGCACAGAATCAAGAGTAAGCTCTAAGTCCTGCGACATGTGGCTTCAAAATAAACAGACAAACAAAACAGAAACTTTTCAAAACCTGGAAGCTGTTAAATCATTATGAAATTTATGGATATTAATAAGCTTTAATATGCCAAACACAATAACAATAAGTCTCATGATGGAGACATTACTCGGCCCAATCGAGCAAATCGATGAACAATGGGAGGACCGTGACTGTGACTAAGCTTTAAATGGGCTGGAGCAATAGCACAGTGGGTAGGGCGTTTGCCTTGCATGTGGCCGACCTAGGTTTGATTCCTCCATCTTGTTTGGAGAGCCGGGCAAGCTACCAAGAGTTTCCCACCCACATAGCAGAGACTGGCAAGCTCCCCAGCATATTCGATATGCCAAAAATAGTAACAACAAGTCTCACAATGGAGACATTACTGGTGCCTGCTCAAGCAAATCAATGAACAATGGGACAACAGTGCAGTACAACAGTGCAACTAAACTTTAAATAAGTTATTTATAAGATGAACAATTCTTCCATAACTACTTTATTACTTGCAGAACAAGATTATTTTTAGGAATGACTTATACATACTAATTATTAGACCCTAAACACTCTACTTATGGTTAAGGTCAAGTGCTCTGAAACAGAAAAATTATCACCTTTCAATGGTCTGGTACTAACAAAATTTATGGAAGGATACAAAAGTGAGATATTAATATAATAATTTACATTGAGATTGCTAAATACCAAATAAGTAAACATCCAGAGTTGGTCACCTGTGGCTCTGAGTGCCTACACAGAATATTACCTGGTGAGTTGCCTGGACATGGATAAGGGAGAATGAGTGAGATGATATTTTTGTGGGAATCATCAAGCATATACTACCGTATTTAAATTTTGTAGACAAATTCTTGTGTTCCTAAGTCAGAATTTTTCTTTCCAATTACATTGTTAAAAGTCCGTTGAACTAAGACCTGTTTCTCCATTTTCCTTCAGGTTGACAATATATCATGGGTATTTCAGAAGTTTCATCATTGTCGTGGTTTGGCTTGATTTTCACAGATCCATTATGATAAAAAAAAAAACATTTTAGCCCTAGCTCTCAAATGTTGATAATGACACTATCTGCTGATCATGTAGTTTCCATTATATCAGTGATTCTTAATTTCTTCATATCTCAGATATGCTTTAGGATGTAATGATATCATAGATCTTTCTCCTATAAAAATTAAATAAATGGTGCTGAAGAGACAATACCAGGTGTAGGAGCTTGCCTTGCATGCAGCCGACTCAGGTTCAATCCCCACAACCACACACAGTCTACCAAATCTCGCCAGGAGTGACCACTAAGTTCAGACCTAGGAGTAAGTCACTACTGGGTGTGGCCCCCCAAAAAGCAAAAAATAAAGAAATACATGCCTAAAATTTTGCACCATCTTGAAAGTGTCATGTTCTAAAGTTGATTCTTGTAGCACACACAGATCTGTCGAACAACGGTCATATTCCGTATCAAGATCATACTTATTTTATTATCCTTATTGCCAGATTTAGACAAAATTTCTGATGCAAAAACCTAACCATACAAAATTCTACTTTTGGGTAATTTACCAAATACTCTGTCTGACCAATGCCTGGATGTTCTTTAAAGGTGGTTACAGTCAGAGATAATATCAATTCTAAGCCGCAGAGCAGGCGCTGCTGATTTTGATGATTGAGGTTAGCCAGCAACAGAGAATATTATCTACAGCTCCCAGGAAAGGGAAGATGTGCTTCTAATCCAGTTCTTGCTTTATTCAAGTGGAAGTAACAAACCTAATGATTCACCTACCTGGGGACACTAAGGGGCAGAGAGGGCAGGTTTCAGCCTATTCTCAAAAAAAAAACAGAAAGTCAGTAAAGTCAGTAGATATGATTTTTAAAGAGAGATACTTTCAACAATCATTAGATGACAGTAAATGCCCTCCTCTGTTATAGAAATGCTATCAGTTTTCAGAAAAAGTGTTAAGGCTTCATGGAGGACAATAGGAAAAATAAGCAATGGTTGCTATCTTGTTTACTTCACAGGAAATGGTTATAGAAATTTCTAGGCCAATCCAGGAGACTTCAGATTCTTCCACAATAGCTTGAATATATCTGTTGATTTTTTTTCAACTTCACTTACAAGTAGTGGACATAATGTTCTGGGAATCCTTCATTGTGTTTTTTTACTCCCCGTTATGTACTTTTTTTTAAAAGAGTTGCTAAAATGTAAATATATCTCTTATTAATTTAAAAAATGACATCTAAATTCCAAGTGGTTAAATTAATAACCATTTCGTTAACTAAGAACAATTTCATAACTACTCAGATGTTTCATTCAATGAATCACAAGATAAACTAATCTCTCCCCCTATATAAAATTAAACAGAAATTCAGAGTGTAGAAATCAAATGCCTTGCTAACAAAAGTGCTGTACCAGGAAACGAGACAGATTTGAAAGTTATTTGAAATTTTTAGGAGTATCATGCTGGCTTCCTGGTATTCATTTTGCCTCTCACTCTCTCTTATTTACAGATTGCTGATTTACACTTGGGTGTATTTGAGAACTTGCCTCCACATCTCTCCAAAGAATTCTGTTGGCTGTGAATTTTGTAGCCACAGTTTCTCCCAGAGGGTCAGAAATGTTCTCCCCATTTCACACTTTCATTGGGTAAGCTCCTTATCCTTTCAGAATTTAATTTACTTCTTTTTCTTTTATCTTAGTGGACTATCATCCTTAGGCATATTCTGACATTTTGGAGAAATTCAGTTATTTATTGTCTGTGAATAGCCGCATGTTCTGTTCACCTTATGTTTACTTGCCTAGATTTCCATGATCATGAGCTTATAAAGCACATAAAGGACTTTTTTACATTCTTTCTAACATTAATGTCCTTTATTTTAGTGTGAGCACCTTTTTAGTTTTGAAATTCAGTTACATATATTGTACAATTAACCATTCTTTCTCCTGTTATATTTTCATATGACATTATATTCAGGTGTATAGCATAATAATTTGATTATATTATATATATATAAATATTGCAAATGATGACAAGTTTCCTTAATATCCCTTCACATACATGCTTTTTAAATTGCATTACTTTTGTGATGAAAACTTTATTTTTAAAATTTTTTTAAATTTAAGAAATAATTTACAAAGTTATTCATAATAAAGAGTTTCAGGCATATAATGTTCCATCATCAATCCCAACACTAGTGTGATCTTCCCTCCACCAATGTTTCCACCAATGTTCCCAGCATCCCTCCCAGCTTTTCTCCTTAGCAGACATTTTTAAGTTTATTTGTTGTAGTTTAAGTTGTAATTCCCTGAGCATCACCAGGAATGAGTAACTCCAAACTGCAGAGCTGGGAGTAACCCCTGAGCATCTCCAGGTATGACCACAAAACTGAAAAATAAATAAATGAAAATATGGAGTACCATTACTATGATACACATTGTCATTATATTGTACCACACTGTACATTAAATTCCATAAATGTACTTATCTTATAACTAGGAATCAGTTTATATTAACACTTTAATCCCTTTCCGATCTTTGACAATCTCCAGTCTGTTCTATGTTCTTCTGAGTTTTATCTTTATTCCACATATAATTGAGATACTAGTTCACCAACTACAAGACCAAGATGACGGCCCTCTGGCATCCTAAAGGATCTATCACATCTTCCAGAAGGACAATAGAGAAGATTATCCATGACTTCTAATCGGATCTCATCAATAACCACATCCGCTTGCCCACATACCAAATTCCACAGGATGGATATGTCGTTCCCAATGTTCTCCCTTCTGAAATCCGACACTCAATTTCATTGGTAAAGAAGTGAACAGCACCTGGCCCAGACAAGGTCAGACACAAACACCTGAAGACCCTGCCATCAGTACTAATCAATACACTGGTTTGGTTCTTCACATGCTACCTGTCTGAATGCAAGTTTCTGTCCCAATGGAAAACCAGCAGGACTGTACTACTGTACAAGAAAGGAGATATCCATTGGCAACTACCGCCTGATCTACCTGTTGTCTGTCATCTACAAGCTGTTCACTCAAGTCATCCTGAATAAGATTGGCAGAACACTAGATGATGGACAACCATGTGAGCATGCCGGGTTCCAAAAAGGATTCAGCACCATCGACCATATCCACAAGATAACCAATCTCATTGAGGTTTCTTG